CTTTTTTTTTTTCTTCTAATCACAGGAGATTTCTCTGAGCAACCTAGTTACTGATTCTACTACTCTCTCACTCTTACCTTCCAACTGCTCTTTGAAGCTTGGCTTTGGTGTGGAAGTTATTTTGCTTCAGACTGCTTAAGAGGCCTCATTACTGAGGCTGGCACCAGCTAGATCCTGTCAGGCCTCTTAAGAGACTGGTCATTCCCCCTTCCCTAAACATTTGAAAACACACGTGAATGGAATGGTAAAGTATTGCTGTCATTATTTGTCTATTTGCATCTGCCATTAAAAAAAGTCTTCTCCTCGGTTTAAAATACCCTGACAATATAAGGTGTCACCTGCTTTATCCCTGGTCTCTGCTCTCTCCTCTCTGCATACCTGGCTTCATTCAGCAACCTCCTGGATGCTGAACAATCCTTGGGACATGTCTTAGTCATCTAGTGCTGCTATAACAGAAATACACAAGTGGGTAGCTTTAACACAGAGAAATTTATTTTCTCACAGTTTCGGAGGCTGGAAGTCCGAATTCAGGGCGCCGGCTCTAGGCGAAACCTTTCTTTTCTGTCAGCTCTGGGGGAAGGTCCTTGTTCCCTGGTTCCTCAGTGATCTTCATGTGGTATGGCATGTCTTCCCCCATCTCTGCTTGCTTGCTGCTTGCCTTATCTGTTCTTTTATCTCTCAAAAGACTTACACAACAAAGAAAACCCATTCCCAAAATGGGATTAAAACAATTATCAAACCAAACTATTGCCATCAAGTCGATTCTGACTCATAGTGACCCTATAGGACAGAGTAGAACTGCCCTATAGGGTTTCCAAGGAGCGCCTGGGGGATTTGAACTGCCATCCTTTCAGTTAGCAGCCATAGCTCTTGACCACTATGCCACCAGGGTTTCCAAAACCATTATAGTCTCAGGATTTACAATGTATGTTTTTGGGGAACACAATTCAAGCCATAACAAGACACATTTTTTTTTATTGTTGTTGAAAATATACATAGCAAAACCAATTCAACAATTTCTGCATGTACAATTCAGTGACATTGATTACATTCTTCAAGCTGTACAACCATTCTCACCCTCTTTTCCATATTGTTCCTCCCCCATTAACATAAACTCACTGCCCCCTAAGCTTCCTATTGAACCTTTGGAGTTGCTGTTGTCAATTTTATCCCATATAGACAGTTTTTTTTTAAAAGAGCACAATGCTCAAGGCAGACATTCTTTACTAATTAATCTAAACTATTATCTGGTTTGAGGAGTCCTGGTGGTGCAGTAGTTAAAGCGCTCAGATGCAAACTGAAAGGTCAGTGGTTCAAACCCACCAGCCACTCCATGAGAGAAAGATGTGGCAGTCTGCTTCCATAAAGATTTACAGCCTTGGAAACCCTATGGGGCAGTTCTACTATGTCTTATGGAGTCATTAGGAGCCGGAATTTGCTCAACAGCAAACGGTTTTTATTGTTTGGTTTAAAGAAGACTTTGTGGGATATTTTTGGTTAAAGTTTTAAAGTTTAAAGATTATTTTAGGGAAGTAGTTTTGGAAGTTCATTCAGCCTCAATGGCTCCAGAAAGGCTGGATCCCATGAGAATTTGAAATTCTATTGTGTATTTTCCCCCTTTTGATCAGGATTCTTTTATAAAATCTTTGATCAAAATATTCAGTAATGGTAGCCAGGCACCAGCTACTTCTTCTGGTCTAATGGAGGCAATTAGCCACACATTCCATTACCTCCTCCTATTCCTGACTCCATTCTTCTTTTGTTGCTGCAGGTGAATAGAGACCAATTGTTGTACCTTAGGAAGCCACTTGCAAGCTTTTAAGGCCCAGGCACTACGCAATGAACTAGGAGGTAGAACTGAAACACTAAACAGTAGCAGGCCAATCAACTGGGATCTTTGGGGCTCATTTTTTACCATGTATTCATTTAGTGAATGTCTACTGTCTTAGTCATCTAGTGCTGCTATAGCAGAAACACCACAAGTGGATGGCTTCAACAAACAGAAGTTTATTCTCTCACAGTCTAGTAGGCTAGAAGTTCAAATTCAGGTGTCATCTCCAGGGGAAGGCTTCCTCTCTCTGTCGACTCTGGAGAAAGGTCCTTGTCATCAATCTTCCCCTGGATTAGGAGCTTCTCCATGCAGGAACCCCAGGTCCAAAGGATGTGCTCTGCTTCCAGCGCTGCTTTCTTGGTGGTATGAGGTTCCCACATCTCTCTGCTCATTTCTCTCTTTTATATCTCAAAAGAGATTGACTTAAGACACAACCTAATCTTATAGATTGAGTCCTGCCTCATTAACATACCTGCCTCTAATCCTACTTCATTAACATTATAAAGGTAGGATTTACAACACAAAGGAAAATCACATCAGTTAACAAAATGGTGGACAATCACACTTCACTGGGAATCATGGCCTAGCTAAGTTGACGGATATTTCGGGGGGACACAATTCAATCCACGACACCTACTATGTACCAGATACTGTGCTAAGCACTAGGAAGAGTAGATGAATAAATAGTCAGGATCCCTATCTTCCAGAAACTTCCAATCCAGGCATTAAACAAGCAATAATCTTGTAAAAGAATTTAAAGTGAATATATATAGCATTTACTTAAAACTAGGTTCCTATTGAGATAAGAGGGTCAGGGAAGGCTTCTCTGAGGAGGTGACATTTACAATGAAGGAAAAATAGGAGCCAGCCACACAAAATGAGGAGAGGAAGAACAGTTAAGCAGCAGGCACAGCATGTGGGAAAGTCCTGAGGTGAGAAAAGAAAAACGTGGTATGTTTCATGGTATGCAAGAAGGTCAGTGGGGTGGGAGCCCAACGGTTAGAAAGTGATGGTACTTGATGTCAGCAGGGGACCTTGCAGAGCTTTATAGGTGATGGTAAGGAGGGGGACAGTGGTGGTTCCGTGGTTGAATTCTCACTTTCCATGTGGGAAACCTGGGTTCAGTTCCTGGCCAATGCACCTCATTTGCAGCCACCACCTCTCTATCAGTGAGGCTTGTGTGTTGCTATGATGCTGAATAGGTTTCAGCAGAGTTTCTAGACTAAGACAGATTAGGAAGAAAGGCCTGGCAATCTACTTCTGAAAACCAGCCAGTGAAAATTCTATGGATCACAATGGTCTGATCTGCTGCCAATCACTGGGATGGTGCAGGACCAGGAAGCATTTTGTTATGTTGTGCATAGGGATGCCAAGAGTCGGGGGGCTGACTCGATGCTAGTAACAACAACAAAAGGAGGCTGGATTGTATGTTCATTGTGATGAGAAGAGTTCATTGAAGGGTTCTAAGCAGAGGAGGTTTGTGATGTGATGTACACTTAGAAGATAATTCTCACTGCTCATTGGGTACTAGACTGGGATGAGGGGGTGATGAGCAAAGGTGGAGGCAGTTGTCCAGCATGAAATGACAGAACCCTGGACCAGGTGGTGGCAGGCGAGTTGGAGAGAAGGAGGTGGGAGTGAAGTATGATAAGACTTGCTGATAGATGAGACATGAGGTGGAGCAGAGGATTCTATGATGCTTTCTGTGTTTTTAGATGCTATTGGGGCTCAGCATCAAGGAATCGTGGCACTAGTCTGGCTGGGGGCTTTTCTGCCCTTGGGAGGGTTAATGGGCTTTATAGCTTAATCACATGCCTCTTGGCAATCAGTCCTCTTTTGCCTTCTGGCTATATTCTTGTTATCCCATCTGCATCCCAGTGGATAGACCCCTACTATCTGCTTCCCTCAGGCTGCCTATTTACCTGCGTAAATAAAGTCTAGACCATGAAATGTCAGCTGGCTCTGACAGTATGGGACAATGGTTAAGAGCACAGTCTCTAGAGCCAACAGCCTGGTCCAAAGCCTAGCTATTTCCCTTGACTGTGATCTTACCTGGTATGATCTTACCTGGCTTCTCTGGGGCTTAGCTACTTCAGTTGTAAAATGGATGAAGATAATTCCTACCTCCTGGGGTTGCTGGGAGTATTTGATGAGCTCCTGTAGGTAAAGCCTTTAGAGCAGTGCCTAACACACAACAATAGTGTTCGCTCTTATTAGTGTCACTCAGAAGGGATCAGGTACTTTTGAGACGCCTTTAACTCACTAGGCACCCACACCTAAAGCAGAATTAATGCTTCCTCAAAATGGATCCAATCTCACAGCGGAGTAACAGGAAAAGACTATTTTACTAAGGATTCCCTGGAAAAGCCAAGGATGGAAGTTTCCTCCTGCGTGCAAGCATTTCACTGCAGAATCCCTGTTGACGATCTGACCCCTTTCTCCATCTCTGGCACTTGTTGCTTGCAGTCTTCCTGAACCCTGGGACTATCCGCTCTTCCCAACTCGGTCTTTTCACAGAAACCACTTTTGGCTTTTTTTAAATCCTGTGTTTGTTTCCTATTTCCCTAATTTTGAGTCTTTATTATTTCTTTGGAGGCCCTGGGTGGTGCAAACAGTTAAATACTTGGCTACTAACTGAAAGGTTGGCAGTTCCAATCCACCAAGAGGCGACTTGGAAGAGAGGCCTGGCAATCTACTTCTGCAAGGTCACAGTCATTGAAAACCATATGGAGCAAAGTTCTGTTCTGACACACATGGGGCTCCAGGAGTCAAAGTCAACTCAACAGCAAAGGGTTTGGTTTTAATTTATATTCTGGACACTGTTCTAGGGGTTTGGAGATATTGCAGCAAAAACCAAGTCCCTTCCATTAGGGAGTTTGCACTCCTATGAGGCAGGGAGGTGTAAATAAATGTCCTGGATAACAGTTTAAAGGGATAAAGGGGTTCCGCGCAGACTTCAAGCCTCCAACAGGATTGAAACACAGAGAAGCGAAATAAACTTCTTTTCTTCAAGGAAGCCCACGCACTTGACCCAAAGTCCTTCCTGTAAGTCGGTCTCAGGAACACGGGTGTTTTAACTAGGCCAATCAGACGCAGCAAGGCGGGGCTAGTGTTCAGTACCGCCTTTTCCTCCGGCCGAGACAAGCGAAAAGCTTTGACTTTACCACGCATGCTCAAATCCTCTAGGCACACTAAGGGGTTCTGCTCTCGTTTGTGTGAGAGCGAGACGCGATTCTTGTGCCAACGCTCTGCCGTACCGTCTAGGCGGCGAGTTGCATCCTGGTTCCGTCGGCTTCTTGGGGTGTGCAGACTGTTCTGCGTACCCGCTGCCACCGCCATGAACCGCGAGAGCTTGGCAGCGGGAGAGCGGCTGGTGTCGCCGGCTTACGTGAGGCAGGGTTTTGAGGCCCGCCGCTCGCATGAGCACCTTATACGGCTGCTTCTGGAGAAGGTACCGAGGTGTCGGTCTCCTCCCCTGCCGCCGCGCCCCCCAGCCTCCGGTTCCGCCCAGCCCTCCCGCTTGTGCTGGTCATGTCTCATTTCTGCTTTTGCTCTTTGAGACTTGTATCCAGAGTTTTTTGCAGCTCGGCTCCTACTACACTGACTAGCAGTACTTAGCTCCTGTTCACCTTCGCTAAAGCCAGCGAAACCCAGGGGGTGTTAATTAGGGGTATTTAGGATCGAAGTCTTGAGCTCCGCTTTTTCTGACTTGGGGATACGGAAATGATGAAACGTCCGAGTTATTTTATTCTTTTGTTTGCGGAAAGGGCAAAGTTCGCTCCTTTCATCTTCCACCACTGCCAGGAACTCAGGGAGGGAACACGTTGCGTTTGTAAATCATCGTATATTAATTTGATCTAAGTGCTGCTGTGGAATTTCACAGGTCTCACTCCTGCCAGTATCGCTGAATTTTAATTCCACTGATTTGACACCCCCTGGTTATAACATCCTGGCTTGAAGAGTCTTCGTTAAGACTATGGAATAAACCAAGCACCAATAAAGGTTTTCAGTTACTTTAATTTACGTAAACCTTGAAATTTTAGTAAACCTCATCACATGCGTTTATCATCACTTCCTTCAATCTGTAGATAATTGTAATCAAATGTAACACGAACTTTTTTTGTATTTGAGGTCTTTTTGTCTTGCTGAGCTTACGTGTTAATGTTAGAAAGCAAGGGGCAAGGCAGAATACACATCAAAACGTTTTAAAATTCACTGAAGTAGGGTTCTAGGGAACTTACACGCTTTTTTTTTTTCTTTTAAAGGGCAAGTGTCCAGAGGATGGCTGGGATGAAAGTACACTTGAACTCTTTCTACATGAACTTGCAATCATGGATAGCAACAATTTCTTGGGCAATTGTGGTGTGGGAGAAAGGGAAGGGAGAGTGGCATCTGCATTAGTTGCTCGCCGCCATTACAGGTGTATTTTTTATGCAGTATGTGAAAACATTTCTTTTTTCCTGTTTTTGGTTCGAAACAGTGGTTGCAGTACCCATTTCTTCTGTATACACATGCTTCTCCAGGGAGATGGAAACAATTTATCTGACTGGTGTTTTTCAAAGATAATGGGGTAGAAGTTCTAATATGTGCAGGTGACCCTCTCAGGTTCTAGAATCAGGTCGTTTAAATGCTGTATATACGTTCTGTTGAGAATGTTTAATAAACTTATTTGGTTGTAAGAGTTTAAGGTATTTTTTGGACTCAGTTATGTTAAGGTTGTTTATAATTTTCTGTATTTCCTTTCTAACACTGCAGGGCTTTTGGAGAATTATTTATAGTTAGAGCTTTAAAAGTTCGTCCGCATCTAAGCTGAATCCCGTCTTAGAGATAAACCTTTCTTTGTTGCTCTAGATGTAGCAAAAGCTATATTTAATTTTAGATTGCTGAATCGCTTTTTTTCTCTTGCATTACTTCAGAAAGCTTCTCATCAATTATAATCATTTAATTGTTAGTGGTTCCAAATATGATCATTTCTTTCTCTGCCCCCCAACCTTTCTGTGAAATATACGTAAACTCTTTTAAAAACTCTTGTCTTCCATGATTTTAAATCATGATAGAATTTGATTTCAATCTAAACCACTGCAGTCAAACTAGTAATAATTTATAACTTGGATGAAAATTTCGTGGTCATGAATGGGCTGATAACATGGTTGATAGTATCTGTGAAAAAATGCTTTGTACATGTGAGGTATTTCTGTGGTAATGAAGTACAATACTAGTGTTCTGTGATAATCTGAGTATACAGAATTTCTCATCTGACTATAAATTACAAACATCTATTCAAATTACAAAATGATTTTTTTATTTTGAAGAGTGTTCATAGGTATCTTTAGTGTGTACCTGTTGCCATCGAGTTAATTCCGACTCACAGCGACCCTACAGGACAGAGTAGAACTGCCCGATAGGGTTTCCAAAGAGTGGCTGGTGGATTCAAACTGCCGAACTTTTTGGTTAGCAGCTGAGCTCTTAACCACTGCGCTACCAGGACTCTTTCTTTAGTGTATAGATCATCTAATTTAAAATGAGTGGATTTACACATATTTTCAAGGAGTTTATAGTTCTTTTAATATTAGTGAAATATTTGAAACATCAACACTTCCCCACTAGAATTTAGTCTCTTGTTTTAGCCCACTGCTCTGGTTAGGGCAAAAGGAAAGAAAAGTAAGAATTTTAATGTTACATACGATCTGGTTTTCCAGTGCTGCATAACAAACCACCCCAAAACTTAATGGCTTAAAACAGCTACTTATTGTTACCTCTCTTAGTTCTGTAGGTTGACCAGGCTCAGCAGTGTGATTCTTGCTTGGTTCTCTCATGTAGTTGCAGCATGCTGTTGGCCAAGAGTTCAGTCATCTGAAGGTTCAATTGGGCCATTTATCCAAGATGACTCATTCACGTGGCTGACAGTTCCTATGGCCTCTCCATGTGGCTTGGGCTTCTCCCATCATGGCAGCTGGATTCAGTGAGGAAGCCCCCAAGAGCAAGCCCTTCAAGAGGCAAAGTGGAAGCTGTAAGGATTCTTATAACCTAAATTAAAAAGTTCTAGACCATCATTTCTGCTAGATTCCACTTGGCCAAGCAAGTCTCTAAGGCCAACCTAGATTCAAGTGAAGGGGAATTAGACTCAGTCTCTGTGTGGGAGTAGCACGTGGGCCTATAGAAGAAAGGAATTGATGGAGACTGTAACAGCTCTCTTAGTCATCTAGTGCTCCTATAACAAATACCACAGTTGGATGGCTTTAACAAAGAGAAATTTATTCTCTCATGCTCTAGTAGTCTAGAAGTCTGAATTCAGGGCACCAGCTCCAAGGGAAGGCTTACTCTCTCTGTCATATCTGGAGGAAGGTCCTTGTCATCAATCTTCCCTCAGTCTAGGAGCTTCTCAGCGCAGGAACTTTGGGTCCAAAGAATGCGCTCTGCTTCCAACGCTGCTTTCTTAGTGGTATGAGGTCCCCATGGCTCTTTGCTTGCTTCTTTCTTTTATATCTCAAAAGACATTGGTTGAAGACACAGGCTAATCTTGTAGATTAAGTTTTGCCTCATTAACGTAACTATCACTAATGCCATCCCATTAACATCGTATAGATAGGATTTACAACACATAGGGAAATCATATTAGATAACAAAATGGTAGACAGTCACACGATACTGGGAATCATGGCCTAGCCAAGTTGACACATATTTTGGGGGGACATAATTCAATCAATGACAACAGCATACACCTTCTCCTCACTTATTGACGATCTCTCTCGTTATCCGATATTCCGCATTTACAACAATAGCAAAAAATCTAGTATCTGACTATTTTGTGCAGTAACAACGTATGTCTGGCAGTAGCGAATGCTGAGGTGCAAGGCGAGAGGAATATTGGCTGTGATGGTTAAAGTTATGTATTAACGTGGCTGGGTGATTTGGCAGTTATGTAATGTAATTTGGCAGTTAAGTATGATGTAGTCATTCTCCATTTTGTGATCTGATGTGATCATCCTCCATTTTCGCATAATGACTTGGTCTTTGGAACCTAACCATGTTGATAAGTGAAGAGAAGGCGTAATTTATGAGGTTATTTTGATTTTAGTAGGATATTTTCATATTATTAATGTTATTGTGTGCTGCTGAGTCTGGCTCATAGAGACCCCATAGGGTTTCCTAGGCTGTAATCTTTACAGGAGCAGATCACCAGGTCTTTTCTCCCACACAGCTTATGAAGTATATGTGTAACAATCAAGGATTGCTTCTGGTGTTTTTTGGTTATTTTATTTGTATATTTGCAGGGGTTTACTTAGAATAGTGAATGTATGTGTCCAGTTATTGACCCACTTTTTGCTTAGGTTCATTCATGGAATTGGACGGTCAGGTGATATTGCTGCTGTGCAACCAAAAGCTGCAGGTTCTAGCCTTTTGAACAAAATTACCAATTCTTTAGTCCTGGACATCATAAAGTTGGCTGGTATGTACCATATTAATTATAATACTTTTGGCTGGCTAGTTGTATGTGTCTTTGCCTAATTTCTTTTATTAATGTCCCTTTCCAAAAAGGATATGAGTGGTTTTTGAAAAGACACATATAAAAAGATTTTTAGAGTAAGACAGAAGTTAGCCGTAAGCCCATAGAAGTGTTTGTCAGTGAGCTTCCTGGGAGCCAGCACAGAAAAGAAAACATTAGGGCTGTAATTCTTGTTACTTGATGGAAGAATTATATCATTTCTTTAAGAATGATACTAGCTAATTTGTTTTACTTTTTATTCATAGGTGTCCGTACAGTGGCCAACTGCTTTGTAGTTCCAATGGCAACTGGTATGAGTCTAACCCTGTGTTTCTTAACATTACGGCACAAGAGACCAAAGGCAAAGTATATTATATGGCCACGAATAGACCAGAAGTCCTGCTTTAAATCCATGATCACTGCAGGTAAAAGAAGAGAAGTATTATAGATGCTTAAATATTTTAAGTATTAAATATTTTGTGATTTTAAATATCACAGAAATTTCAGACTTTGTATGTAAAGATAGATAAATGAAAAAGATACTAAACCTCATTTCTATTCTTTAAAATGGGGATATTTTCACTTGCCTCAAAAGATTGTTTTGAGGATTAAATGCGATGAGATATGAAAATGCCCAACAGCAATCCCTGGAATATGAAAGGTGCTTCAGGAATGTTTGCTGTAATATATATAAGTGGAGCACACATAACACGTTATTAATGTTAAAGTGCAAGGATACAGGCACTTCAGGTAAACCAAAACCCAAACCAAACCCATTGCCATCAAGTCAATTCTGCTTCATAGTGACCCTATAGGAAAGAGTAGAACTGCCCCATAGGGTTTCCAAGGAGTGGCTGGTGGATTTGAACCGCTGACCTTTTGGTTAGCAGCCTAGCTTTTAACTGCTGTGCCACCAGGACTGCGCTTCAAGTATAAATGAGACAAAAACTTTAAATTGGGATTTTAGTATGTTGGCTTGCTTAAGTCAAGCTTAGGTTATAAATTTGAGAATTTAAGGTTATTTTAGAATGACCCAGTCTGTTGTACGAAATAAGCAGTATTGGGCTATAAGTTAAATTCTGTAAATAATCGTAAAGAAACTCATGTAAAGAGATTCATAAAAGGGCATATACCAGAAACTAATTTGCTTTAAAAAATATAATACTATTTTATTTTAAGTGGCATAAAGTTGTCAAGTCTGTTAATTCACATCTTGTTCACCGAAGAACTGATAACCAGACTTCTGGAGAAGATTGCCATTTTGAAAAACTGAAAACTTTTTTCCAAAACATGTTATGATTTGGACTGTAATTTAGAGTTTATTTTTTATTTTTTTAGGGTAGTCTGTATTCATAGGAAACAAGAGAGTTGTATTCCTAAAAAAAAAAAGAAAAAAAACCTGCATTTTAATTGTTTGAAAACAAAATTGGAGTTGGGCCTAGAGAATTTGAGAAATAATAGAAAATTAGTTGTCCTTAAGAGTTTAAATAGTTTTGCGTGTTTGTTTTAATAACTATGAAGGTATAGATGTAAAACCTGTGACCTTGAGGAAGACCTTATGCTTAAAATGAGCTGAGTTAAATGGTTTCTTAGTCCCTTACAGTTCTTAAATTCATGAATCTAGCCTATTGTTTTGGTATTTGGGAAGGCTAAAGATTTGATTACCTAAAAACTTCATGTGTAAAAAAGACTTCAGGAGATAGCTTTGGTTTGAGGTTCAAGGTTTAAGGATTATCTCAGGGCAGTGGTGTCAGAGTTCATCTAGCCTCACTGTCTCTAGAAAGTCTGGATTCCATTAAAACTTTGAAATTATGTTCTGCATTTTCATCCCTTTTGATCAGGATTCTTCTGTAGAATCTTTGATCAAAACATTTAGTAACGGTAGTCGGGCACCATCCAGTTCTTCTGGTCTCATGACCAAATTGACAACAGCAACTGGAAAGTTTAGATGAGAAACTTGGGGACAGTAAGTTTATGTTAATAGTGGTGGACTAATTTTAAAAGGATAGAATAGTTGCACAACTTAAAGAATATAATCAGTGTCACTTAATGGTACATGTAGAAGTTGTTGAAATGGTGTATCTTTTCACCAAAGAAAAAAAAATAAAAAAATCCAAACTTAGTGTGCAGTCTATACCAAGTTTATTTTCTAGTTCCTAAGACTTAAATACTAAAATTTTACTTCTACGTATTCGTATCACGAAGTACTTTGTACGTTATTTAGTGTACATATAGATGTATACAAATTTTATACCCATAGATACCCAAGTATCGTAAAAGAGTACATAATTGTTATTTGGGGGGACCTTTGATTATATGCCAGTTAAGTAAATTATTTCAGTTGAGAATAGTTTTTATATTTAAATCATGGAGGACCCCTGTAAGCTATGACTTGGGTTGGTGATTCTCAGGCTACTGAAATTCAGTACATTAGAGGTGAAATTTGAAGTTGATGATTATGATTTGTTTCAATTTTTTAATTATACAATTATGTCCATCTCCAGAATAAAGTGAACTTTAAAATAAAGCTTAAATGTAGCCATAAAATTAGCAGATTTTCTTTTCTGTGGACTAAAATTGAATTGGGCTCTGATCCTTTTTGTCATCAATGTCTGTGTTATTACTTATAGAGATATTTATTTAACATTTGTTTTTTTCTCCAGAATCATTCTTATATAAAAGTGTTGACTTGATTTGTGGTCCTAATTGTGGTCTAGTTGCCCTCTACATTACTTTTACTGGCCTTTGACCATTGCTAGTAGTGAGCCAGGTGTTTATTACTAGCAGAGAGTTCATTGACCATAATATTTATTTTGTGTAGAATAGCCTTGCTTCCTAGAGCTCCAGGATCTTTCCATATTTTAGTTTGCACTAACTTTTTGATTTTGGTTGCCTTGGTTAGGTTTTGAGCCTGTGGTGATAGAGAATGTCTTAGAAGGTGATGAGCTGTGCACAGACCTGAAAGCAGTGGAGGCTAAAGTCCAGGAACTCGGGCCTGATCATGTTCTGTGTATTCATTCTACTACATCCTGTTTTGCTCCAAGAGTACCTGATAGGTAAATGGTTTGTGAATATTGTCTTTTAGGTGTTCATCAATCTTTTAAGTAAAGTGTAGATACAGGCAGTACCCGGATTATGAAGGAGTGCCATTCCTAAATCTGTTTTTAAGTCGAATTTGTACGTAAGTTAGAACAGTTTGTATCTAACACCAGTTAGATGTTTGTCATAGTACATAGTGTACCTTTCTATACATAAAAAATATTAAAGAAACAGTTCCAGATACACTAAAGCATCTTTAACATAATAATGCAGTATTATTATGAATAAGAGTATTTTGATGCATGTCGCAAAGTAGTGTCTATTATTAGGAACCATGATATGTATCTCAAGTTTTTAATGTAATAGGCTTTGTGAGGGTTGGTTTGTAACTACAGTTGTATGGAAGTTGGATGTTTGTGACCGTGCACTGCCTGTATACTAATTCTCAAATATGCTTAAATAACATTTGGTAGTAAATAGGTGACTGGACTGTCCTAGAAGAATAAATTAACCTTATGGTAAATAGCACAATGGCTTGGGAAAATAAAAATTTGATAGAGACGAAGGAAAAACAGCTAGTGGTGGAGATCCATTTATCACCTGCATAGATACAGAAAATCTCTTTTTTCTTGTTCTTTATCCTGCTTCTTATCGCTCGATTCTTTTTTTCCCCCATTATTTAATACAAATTTCTTTTCTCAGCTAAATAGTGGACTTAATTGTTTTCACTGTTATCTCCACTTGTGATCTTACAGTTTTCATATCAATATTAACAGATTTTAAATAAGAATTTTTGGGATTATTAACTTTCCTTTAAATTTTTTTGATTGAAAGATTAACTCAGTTGTACACGTAGATATACACAGTGATAGTCTTTGCATTTTGAAGACAAAAGCAAAATATTTAAGAAAATCAAATAGAAAAAAAACCAAGTATTTACTTTGTTAAGTAATAGCAGCCACAACTTTTATTCTGAAAAGGCAGGAGACTTAGATCCAGTAATAGAGATTTCTAATCTTGACAGCAACTTTTTTTTTTTCATTTTAACATTTTGAAGAAAAGTATTAATAATATGTAAGGATTACATCCTTTTAGTATAAAGTTATACTTTGGTATTAATTCATAGAATCACATAATTTGGTAGTAATGAATGTATGCTAACTTTTATTATCTTATAGGCAGATTTTAAGAGACAATTTTAAAACCATGCTCTTGAAAATTACCTTGCTATATTCAAGACTATGGGATTCTATTTAAGATGATATTGCTTATGCTTTAGTGATTTATTTATTACTGACCAGTCAGATTTTAAAATGCCTATTAAAATATTTAATAAATATCTCCATTCTTATTAATGATTTTGATAGCTAGAAGAATTTTAATGTGATAGAAATAAGTCATATTTCCAAAAACAGCATATGGATATCCTTGACAATAGTTTTGTTTTTATCTAATGTTTTATGTAATGGTTTTTGAATGTTAATAGTATGCTTGGCATGGTGTTAAGTATGTTACATGCATTATCTCCCTTGAAAAAATCGTAAAGGTTTTTATGTCAGCAGAATTCTCATTTGTCACTTTTTAGTGGTATTATGTAATGAATGTTTATGATAAAAGTTTAGGAAAATGGTGATGCACAGTACTTGGTGATATGTTTAAATTTCTGATTTTATTAAATTAAAAAATGCATATTGATTTCTTTACATCAAACTTAATTCATGTATAGTCTTAATTTGAATGGGTTAGTGTGTGTTTTGTCTTTATTAGCTAATTAATTGTACAAAAATTGTGGGGGAATATCAATCAAAGGAAAAGAGGGCAATCGTTTCTTCTGATAAACACTTTAAGTTGGCATGTAAATTAGAATACAGTTTGATTCACATGGAAACTTTTTCCTGCTTTTCCTTGCCTTTCATTTAATATTTTTTCATATACACTAAATATTAACAGATTCAACCAATTAATAATATTTAAAACTACTCACAATTTTTTTTTTTCCCTCTTTTAAAATTGGACTTTATGTTATGGTGCCTTTCTTTCAAGGAAGTTCTTTATTAAGGAATGCTTTCATTAGAAGATAGATACTTGAAAGTACCTTTTATCTTTTGAAGAGAGTACTTGTGTGTATCCCAGATGTTTTATTTTGTTAAAAACGGCATCTAATTAGTTTTAGTAATAAAAGATTTGTTTTGATTTATGAAGTTTATGAAAATGAATAATAAAATGAGTTTTTAATTCATAAAACTTCAAGGAAGCAAACTGAAGACTTCTGACAGTTGAACATAATAATGTTATTCTTGTTAATGCACATCACTAGAAAAAGAAGATGTATTATACATGAGTAGATAATAAAATTATGTAATGTATATTTGGAATAGATCCTTGCGGAAAAGAGCCTTTATTGTATAAAAACTCTTTGTTTCCAAATTCTTTATATTGCAGAAAAAAATTTTAAAAAAATTAATTTTGTGAAACTATAAGATTTAGTTTTATTTCATAGCATGAAGACATTTCTATTACAGATGGCCTCAGTCACAATTAGTGTTTAGTTTTGTGAAGAACATCTATTATGTTGTGATTGAAATATATTACTTTACTTTGCATAAAGTTAGACTCTCGAATTCTCTGATATGAAGGGTATAAAATGAAAACTTAAGAGTGGATTTAAAACCAGTGGCCATTTAAAAGATTCTCTTTAGTATCTGTGTTGTTGAAAAACATTAAAGAGTTATTGTGGTACTGAAGCATTTTAATGTTATGTAATTTTTAATGCATTAAAGTCTATTTCAAATGTATTTTTTATTTTATGTGATAATGTTTAATGTGCAATTTCTTAAGATTTCCAGTTACACTAATTATTTTGCAAAAATTATCTGTGCTATGATAAGCAACCCAAACCATTTAAAAACGAACTTATCACCTGCAAGGAGGGATCATTACAGATAATCTGCTTCTTGCTTTTTATATAGGAAATTTTAAAATGATTTAAAAGCTACTATCTATATACATTTTTATAAATACGTGCTTTTACATTAATTGGTAATGTTAATTTAAATGCATTTTTAGGTTTATTCTAAAGTTCCTGATACGTAATTCCAAACTGCTGAATTATGTGCTAAAACACTGCAGTAGAAATTTCAGTGTTTGGCATCATTTTCCCTGGTGTACTATTAAAATAAAAGAAAAAGTTTCCACACTGTAATTTATGAAGCACAGTGTGAGTGTGTCTTTCTGTTGAATATTTATGTTTATAGATTAGAAGAACTGGCTGTGATTTGTGCTAATTACGGCATTCCACATGTAGTCAACAATGCATATGGAGTACAGTCTTCAAAATGTATGCACCTCATTCAGCAGGTAAGAGAGTTTAAAAATACCTGTCAAGAAAGAGTGGGTTTTAACATATTACAAGGTTATAACTTTGTTTTACTTACAACTTAGTATAGTAAAAATAATTATCGAGTACCCTTAAAGGGAGCATTAGAAAACTCACATCTGATACTCTCTCAGTAGAAGTCATTATTCTGTAGTAATATCGTGGTAATTTGACTAATAGCCTAAGTTGTCCAGAATCAACATAGAAATACTTAAGCAGCTTAGTTGTTTACTTTCTGAGAATGTTTCATTACCAGAATCTTCATTTTTCTAATATACTGTGTTATAATATTTTAAAAACCATTTTGATGTTTTTATTCTGTATTTAATATTTAAGGAATCACTTTACCTTATTATCCTAGACCACAAATGACTTTATTTATAAGTATTCAGTTTTTGATAATTTGTGTAATTTGTGTCATGTGGACGTAAGTTATTTACAGATTATCTGTACCGTTCTCCAGTGTGGTGAGTGTTCCTTAGCTCAGTAGCGCCTATCTAGTAAAATGTTTTATTTTGAGTGTACTAGTGTCATCTTAAGGAGCCCTGGTGGTGCAGAGGTTAAGCACTTGGCTGCTTACTGAAAGATTGGCGGTTCGAACTCACCATCCACTCTGCGGGAGAAAGTTGTGGCAGTCTGCTTCTTAAAGATTACAGCCTTGGAAGCTTTATGGGGCAGTTCTACTCTGTCCTATAAGGTCACTGTGAGTCGGAATACACTCGACAGCAATGGGGGAGTATCATTTTTGATTATGCGTGATTTATAGGAAAGTAATAGCTGGTTTGCTTAATTTCCTTAACTCAAAGGTTGTATCAGCTAGGATGTAATTGGCTGCAAGTAACAGAAACCCAACTGAAACTGGCTTAACCAGCAAGGAAATAGATTAATTTATGTAACAAAGTCCAGAGGTTGAGTGGGTAATACGCATTGTATGTCAGGGTTTGTTAAAAAGCTCTAGAGGAAGACTGTTTACCATTTCCTTGGTATCCTTTCCCATCATTCTGTAACTCTTTAAGGCCTCATCGCAATTCTAGACTGTATTATATCTAATTTGAATGGTAACCAAGGAGGGTTGTGCAATTCCCTACCCTGGGAATCTTGAAAAACAGTTTACTTCAGTGATTCGCTTTTACTCCTCCTTCTCCCCCCTTCCTTTAGATTTTTAGCAGACTTTAAAAGTCAAATACATGAGCATTACTAAAAGTTCAGAAAAATATGAAAGAAGTAGAGTATCATTCATAACCCTACTCCCCTAAAACATATTCTTAATAATTTATGTATTTGCTTTTTTCTCTTTTTATATGCATCCGTTGCTTTTTCCATAGTTGAAGTCATTGTGTACATTTAGCATTAAATTTTTTAAACTTAGTGTTATATCTTTATACTCTCCACATTCCTACAAAGTCTTTATATTATTATTTTAATGGTTCCTTAACATTTACTTATATATTATTTTCTTAACCCAGAAGTGGTCAGTGTTTTGGTGTTCACGATACATTTTTAAATAGTGGAGAATTTGGTAACAGATTTAAAGAGGTTAAGACTAGAAGAAAATGAGCTTTAGGATATGATATGAAAGGTACTCCTGTACTTGTGTATTATGAATATCCTGCTTTGTCATCATCTCTGCATTTGTGAGGTACTTTTACTAAAATATTAACCAGAAAAATAGAACTATAAGAATTAATAGTTGTATTAATTAATTTTATAAAATGTAGCTAGCTGTTGTAGATACTATAGTATCTTCTAAAATTGACATAAAAAAAAAAAAAGCAGTACATACGCATTTTTTTCCCTCAAAAGTAACCCTCATGAAAAGAGGTTGTGGCACTATTGCCTTAAACCAAATAAATATTTGGGTGTTATTGAGTGCTAGTTGGTGTTTCATGACGTTTTCTATAATATTAAAATTCACTTCACTTGTTGCTGTCGATTCTGACTCATGGTGACCCCGTGTGTTACAGAGTAGAACTGCTCCATAGAATTTTCTTGGCTATAATCTTTGTGGAAGCAGATTGCCAGATTTTTCTTCTGTGGCACCTCTGGGTGGTTTCAGACCACCAGCCTTTAGTAGTTGAGCTCAAACCATTTATGCTACCCAGGGACCTCTGAAGTTAGGTCTAATTCATCTCAATAGTTCTTACTAGTAATATGCACTGTTTGATAAGTACTCACCATATGTCAGGCATCCAGCTAGATTTTTAAAGTTTATTAATTTAATCCTAACAATTTAAGGCATACTTTTTTTTTAGTGGGATGTTAATTTAATTTATTTTTTGTTTATTGTTGTAATTTTAAGTGAAAGTTTACATTTCAAGTTAGTCTCTTATACATACATTGTTACGTGACCCTAATTACTCTCCCTATACTGTGACAGCACGCTCCTCCTTTCCACCCCTGATTTCCCGT